CCAGCGGCACCTCGTAGGGTGGAGAGACCTGGAGGGGCACAGGGGGGTCAGGGTGAGCGATGTAGGGGCTCGGTCCTTTGTGCGTGTGGGGTGGGCAGAGCTGTATCCTGCCCACCCTCACCCTCTCCCATGTGCACGCCAAAGTGCCAGTCTGCAGGAGGGTATGGGGGGCACGGGAATACTGGGGGTGGGCAGGGGACTCAGCACAGCATGTCCCTCACCCCCACCACCCCACAGAGCCCCCTCCCATGGGAAGGTCCCATGTCCCAACCTCCCGGAGCTGCAGCGCGACACTTACCAGGGGTGTGAGGAGGCTGAGTTGAGGAACGAGGGCAGAAAAGGTCTGGAAAATATGTATGAGGGGGGAGATGTCGTAACATTTTATGCCTTCCTCACAAGGGGAAGCAGAGGGGCAGGGGTAGGGCAGTAGGGCTTGAGGAGGTCCCCGCAGGGTTCTCCACGGCCCCCCGCAGCCCCCTGGCTCTTGTCCTGAGCTCCCCTCGCCCCGAGGTGCTGCCATGCTGCAGGAGAGGAACCAGGGAGCTGTTCCTGGGCATTTTATAGCTGCTGGGGTCCACAGTGACTGACAGCTGATTAGGGAGTATTAGCACCCGTGAGAGCGGCAGCAGGATCTGGGGCATCCAATATCCCCCTGCCCAGCCACTGTCAGGCAGGGACTGTCCTCCTTGCCTGCCTACCCCCAGCCAGGACCTCAGCACCCAACTTCGCACAGTCTACACAGTCCCCAGGGAAGGAGTACGGCGGCACCCAGGGGCTGATGCATGAGGTCCATGTGAGCCCCACAGCCACAGGGACACAGCACACCCTAGGCTTTACTGCAGTGCTAAAAGCCATCAGTCCCATCCATGACCCCACTCCTGATCTGGCCCTGGGGCTGGGGTCAGCAGAGCCCCCATACTGCTTCAGACTGGGGGGTCTGAAGCAAAAGGGGCTGGAGGGAGAACTTATGCCTGGTGGGAGAACAGCACCCTGTGCTGCCCTGTCCTGCTACTCCTCCAGTCTGGCCAGGTCCTCACCAAACCCCCAGCACCACCATGCCTGCCACTGGACTCTGGGCAGCAGAGGGGCAAAGGGAAAGGGCCCTGCAGCCCTAGGGACAGCTGGGGACCCCCACAGACACCAGGGGGTTTGTGTGGCTGGCACAGCAGTGGCAGCAGGTGGGCAGGGCAGTGGTGGGCAGATGTGCAAGGGGCCCTGAGAGCCCACGACCCCCTGAGCCACCCACTCCTGCCGCCGGCCCTCCCCACTAAGACTGGGATTATCCCACAGGTTGTATCCGTCATTAAATACCGACTAATAACGCTCTCAGGATATTAAATATGTAACAAACCCGCTTAGCCCTGGCCAGGACAGGAATGGGAAGGTCACTGGTGCTAATGAGCCTGGCTGCATCCCTGGCTCCCTGCAGGCCCTGGTGACAGCACAAGGTCCCAGGGCTGAGGTGCCAGTACCAAGGGGCCCCAAACCCTCACAGTGTGCCATGGACAGAGCCCCAACAGCACCCGGAGCTCCCAACATGCAGCAGCTGGAGCTCTGGTCCATCCAACCCACCACAGGCTACTCCCATGCTAAGGGCAGTACCATGAGTGAAAGCCACGGGGCAGCTGGGATGACTGGTACTGCTGGCTGGGACCAGCCCTGGCCACGTCCCCACAGCGGCCCCATAACCTTGTCCCCACGGGACTCCTCCAGCCCTAATCAGCACCGCGGATCTGCTTGATTAGATAATGGGGCTGTAATCTAGGAAAGCGCCTGCAGATTGCTGCGGCACACCCTGACCCTGTGCAGCACAGCTGGAGAGGGAGGGCCACGGCCAGCCGGGTGAGGCGCAGGGGGACAGCGCCGGAGCCACGACTGGGCAGGGAACCTGCACCACCAGGCATGGACGGGGCTGATGTGAAGGCAGCAGGACGGTGTCACAGCCGGGACAGAGCCACAGCCAGGGCTGGACACCCCAGGGAAGTGTGGGGCCACCCACACGTCGCTGTCCCGGCTGTCAGCAGGGCCGGCCCACAGCAGCCCTGGTGCTATGCCCATCCCCTGCAGGAGCAGCGCAGGGAGGAGCCCAGAGTGCCCGGGGATTGTACTGCCCCTGTCCCGCAGCTGTGAGGCTCTGGCCTCGCACAGGCTCTCACCGAAGCCGGGTGGTTCCCGGCCTTTTTCCCCTCCACGGATAATCAGTTTAATGCAGGAGCAGAGAACTATAACTCCGCGATTAGCTGTTATAATCGCATGTAAATACGCCCAGACAAGCCGCTCAGGAGGGCGCTGTGTGGCTCGGGACAGAGTTACACGGGATTTAGTTTGTTTACCACTCGATTAATTTCATGACTCCAGCCCCAAGCCCACCCGTCCCAGCTGCCCGGCTCACTTCCCAGGAGTCAAGGTCACTCGGGCAGGAGCCAGCTGATAGCTCAGGGTGTTTTGTAGTAGTGACCAGGGCTGAACAGCACTGAGCTCGAGGACCCCATGCCCCAGCTCCCCGGAGCCTGCTGAGGAGGCTGAGCTGTCCCATCCCCACTGGTTGAAGCTCAAACCCCCAAGCAGGCACACATAGTCTCCATCCCTTTTTATTCATAAGCATAGTCAAAGCTTGAGAATGCCAGTGCTGAACCCCTCCCACAACCACCGACGGACCAATGCCAGAGTCCATACTCTTCAGAAGAAAAATAGAGCATCTTCCACCTCTGCCTCCTCCTCCTTGGGTTCCTCCAGTCCAGAGTCCTGCTGCTGCCTGCCTGCAGGCCAGAGGCACCACGGGAGGGCTGGCTGCTGCACACCGGGACCGCAGGCTGCGGGGTGGGGAGTGTGTGACTGCGACTGCACACACCTCACCTCGTCCATCACAGCTGCCCCCAGCCCCACAGCTCCTCCAGGGTCCTCGTGTGCTGGGCAGACACCAATCTGCGGCTAACCCATACAGACAATTCAGGAAAAGTGATTTCTGATCATCAAGTGCAACAGGCAGAGACTGTCCACACAAGGGCCGTCCCTGCGGCTGCTGAGCAGTCTCGGGGGGATGCGCAGGACCCCCATGGTGTGGGGCC